CAGTGAGTGATTGGGGTCTTTTATGGGGGCTATATTTGGTGAATTTGGCTTGCACACTAGTGCTTCGCAGGGGGAGACCTTCTATATTCGAGTATCTATTAATTGAGAATATAAAATGTACTTTTCTAAGTTACCTTTTTCTTGATTATTGATTTAAATTGTTGCTTTGATTTCACTTGTTAGACATCTTAGTTCATAGGGGCATTACACAAATAAATATCAGTCTAAGCCAATTAGCTTTGAACTAAATCCACTCATGCTATTAACTAAGTTAAATTAATTTTATACCAAATCTATCATGTTAAGAATTCTTATTTGAAATTTAGGCTTGATTTGGGCTTGATTTGCCTTTGAAAGATAGATTTATGTTGCATTCAGAAGGTCTCTTTCGTACCGTCTAGTCTATCAAACAAAATTATGTCGCGATAGTCTGATATAAATTGTATTAGAATAGGCTTGAATGCAATTGGATCTTTGAGATTAGTGTAATACATATTGAGAGTTTGTATTGAGCTAATCTCCATGTAGATCCAATGATTTTCAAACCCATACATAGTCTTATAAATTGTCATGATATCCCGACATAATTTTTTTATCACACCATCTTTCTGACTAACATTATCCTTTGAAGATTGATAACATAAAGGTACGTTTCATGACAAATTTTGGCTTGCCCAAGAGTTTCCTTTGTTTAATTTTTTTAATTTCATGTCCAAAATTTTATTTTAAACACCCAAAATGAAGTACGTTGCCTCATTGCATTTGATTAACAAGTGTTATTGGAGATTGTTCTTTCCAATTTCTTTTGCACAACTATTGGGAATGATGATGACTCTAAATGAATAATGAATAGTAGTGGATAAAGTAAGCAATAGTAATCTACTTTTTTGTTTGGACAACTTTGAAAAACTTGAATCTTATTCTTAGTGTTAGTGGTGGCTCTGTTGTGGCCTTTCTTTGACGGAATTCCTTTCCAAATTATTTAAATTTAAACTTTTTTCAGTATTTTTAGTGCTATACATTGCTCATATAGGCATAGTTGTTGTTCTTGCATAAAGTTGACTTTATAATTCATATGTTGATATATTTAGGAGAATGCATCATACAAGAATATAATGTTGTATCTCTTGTAATTGAAATATTTTCCTTTCCACATGTAACAAAAAAAAAATCAAAGAAATCTGCTTTTTTTTACAAAAAAAGTTCTAAAAGTAGAATCCTCTTTAAATTTTACATGTACTTAAATCTCAGAATTTCCTAAGATTTTATCTGCAAAAACCAAAAGAGATTAAAAAAAATCAATAAGTATGTTTTCATTCAAACATTCATGACCATAAGCATATTGTGAATCTACCCTATAATAACTTGTTGAATTTCTAAAGGATCCTATTGATTTAGTGCTGCTTTTTGAAATTGTTCACCCTTCTATCTAGTCGTAGGAATTTTATCAACTCAACTAACCAACATGATGTTATATATCATACATTGATATTACATAAAAATATTGCATAATATGAAAATATAAATGAAATAAACTTATGTGAATAATTGTACGTGCGTGCTAATTGATAGAGTTCACTCTCTTATGGTTCTAAAGCCGGAAGTTGAAGTACATGTGCACATAAACAAAAAAAAAAAGTATATTGATATCGAAGCACTTTAAATAGAACATTTAGACAATGTTCATGTGACAGATGTACACATAAAATGCTATTGATAAGAAATTGTACAGTATAATCAAATATTTAAAACCTCTTGAATTATCATTTTTATTATATAAACTGCCAAATAATTTTATATTAATTTATTGTATTTGACAAAAATTGTAACATTTCTATTTCTATTATGTTATTGTAATTTTAGAATATGAGTATTCCCTAAATTGTCAATAACTCACTATTATTTAACTATCTTTTCAGTTTAAATTTTGGACTAAAAAAACGAATGATAGAAAAAGTAATGTTTATAAAAGGTGCACTAAGTTATAGAAAGGTAACTATAATTTTACTATTATATAGATTTAATTTATAATTATTAATCTCTTTATATTATTTGGAATATTAAGTATTAAAAATATAAATTTTAATTTTAAATTAAATATAATATCCAACCGTCTATTCCCACCATGAAAATTTCAAACCCTCGGGTAACAATAGCTAAATTAAAAACATGGAAAAGAGTTGCCAAAATAGTTCCACAATACCCACATGAGTGAAAAAATTCAGGATTGTTTTCTAATTTCTAAAACCGAACACTTCTCTCAGCATACATTAATGAAGTCTAAGAAACCAAAAAAAACCATAGCCTAGAATATTATGATTTTCCATAAAGTTCAACACGTTTCCTACAAATGATATGAAGCGTATGTTTTTTAGACACATTAGCAAAGCAGAACTGATGAGAACAAACAATGAACGGTCTTAGAGGATATTTAAAGAAAAATTACAAAAACAAAGGATCATTCGCAGCATGATGCTCCCTTATTTAAATAACAAGAATATGAAACCATAAAAAATAAAGCTATGACAACTTTCAAGTGACTGTTTGACAAAATTCAGAAATATAATTTCATAAAACATGAGCAAGCCTTGCAGTTTAATAGCCACCCTGAGACTCAAAAAATACTTGATGTGATTTATTAAAATATAAGAAAATATTTAAGAACACAAATAAATTCTCTCACAAAGTCACACATCGACCATTAAATTGGAAAAAAAAAGGACAAAAAGGCTCTTTATTAAAATAAACAGCAATCAAGTGTAGTGCTCAGATGATTATTTGAAGCCTGGGGTAAAAATAAATAGCTTAAAACCTCAAATTAAATAAAAAGGCATATAATGAGATAATGGTAAGTCCACAAAAAAAAATGTACCGAATGAAAATCCCATTAACATTGGCAAGGATCCAAACGAAAACCAAACCCAAGTCTTGTGCGGAAATCAAAGTATCTAGAAAGAACCAGTAATGAGTAGAAAAGAACGAACTGAGCTTGGACTAAACCGAAGAAGACCAAGCAGAAAGAAAGTGGAGACCCCTGCAACTTTGCTAGAGATTCTCCTTTCAATTCGACATAAACACCTACAACCAATCTTCAAATCATCACAGGCATTATAGTTCTTCTAGGTGTGATGGTGGTTTTATGTTCACAGAAAAAAAAAATGTCCACAGGTGTAGTGTTGGTTTTGAAATGATCTTCACAAGAAGAAGGGGCCGATATTCTTCCCCAAGTGTGGAGAAATCCATTATTATTAGATTTGAATGATGAAACACTACCTCCATCAAGAATTAAACGTCATCTCACTAATAAATATGATTCTTCATTATCCCTACCATATGATTACTCTATGTTCCTAGCCTTTCCGGACACCCTCCATGTTTTGATTTGGCAACCACTTCATGTTTGTATAGTTTTTAGTATGCAAGCTTAGTATTGTGATAAGAACGATTCAATTTGAAAAAATCTACCAGCTACACGCACACTTTCTGGCACCCGACATTAGTAAATAATTGCGCTCAAATCGCCAAAAAAAACACAAGCATCGAGTATATGAGACTTTGGTTTGGCAAAAGTTTGACATTACGTAAAATGTTAACAACACATTTTAACATTTTAAGTTCAAAATAAAGTGGACGCACAAAGTTATTTTATGACTTTACTTTCAATTTCAACATATTTGCACAATTGTAATAAACCAAATAGGAACAAAAAAGTCCAATGGAACAATCCAATTGAAAATTCAATTACACAAAAGTATGAATAAATGACAGAAATTCAATAATATATTCCTTAATGAGTTGAGGCACTACCATTAATCTATAAATATTGCCCTATTTTCACAAGTTCAAAATAAATAATCGATAGAGTCCAGCCACTTAAACATAAATAAGTATATATTAAGCACTACAATTCAAGAAACCTATTTGCAAAATATTCCCAAGACAATCCAGAACACAAGGTAATTGATAGAAAATATCTTAGACTTTTAAAAGTCAGCAAGATGTGCATGCTTGATTATATTTTACTGTTTAGCAAACATATATAAAGATAAAAAAGTAATTTACTGGCGTTCTTTTCAGGGAAAATATTTGCGTACGTCTTACGTACGCAGAGCTGCGTACGTCGGGAGCTCTGCGTACGTCGGGAGGTTCTTCAGAGGGTATAAGGGGGTTATATCCGTGTTATACCCCCTTTAACCTTCCCATAACCTACATGTAACCCATCTGTAACCTACAAATAAGTTCTGCGCTTTTGTAATTCCGGTAGTTACAGGTAAGTTACAGAGAGGTTACAGGAGGGTATAAAGTGGATATAGCCCGCCTGTACCTCTGAATAACCCCCGACGTACGCAGCGCTGCGTACGTCTTACGTACGCAAATATTTTCCTCTTTTTTTTCAGGCACCATGTCCAACAATGTCAAATAAGTGCGAAAAACAAATTACATCACTCTCAACATTAAATAAGAAAATTAATGAAGTCATATATACTGATAAAAACATATTATTGATCTATCACATAAGAATTGGAGAAAACTCTAAGACATCCATGATGAAGATGGATACCAGCTCACATAACTAGGGAAACAATCAAGTACACCTAACTCTAAAATAAAATCTAAAGGCAAAACTTTTTTTTTTTTACTTTGATGATGGATTCAGAAGGCATTCATAGTTCTTGAGAAAAGCATAGATAATGCAATAAAAAAGAAAGAAACATACTCATCAAAAATAATTAATAAATTTACTTTTTAGCAGAGTAAGGAGCAAGATGAATTGAAGCTAGTTACATAAGGTCATGAGTTGAAAACAAGGAACCTTATACCAAATAAAAGGCTAGCTCCTACCAAAATAAAAGATGATGAGATAAAAATATTGGCACCATTTTTTACTTTATTCACAACAATAAAGATGACATTTAGCAAACAAAATATGAAAAAGCATAAAATTTAAATGAAAAAAAAAAACTTAAGTTTCATAAAAAAATTTAAAAAAAGAAACTTACCAAGCTTTGTTCCAGCAAGAATTATAGGAACACCAGGGGCATAATGCCTCAGCTCTGGAATCCACTGCAAATACAATAAAACAACCAGAAAAAGAAATAGCTATCAATGCACCACAAAAGCTGTATAAAAATAACAACTGAAATATAAGAAATTAAGAATTAGCTTAGTAAGTTTTCACCTTCTTTGCAACATTCTCATAGCTGGCCTTGCTGATGAGAGAAAAGGCCAGGATAAAAACATCTGCTCCGCGATAGCTCAATGGTCTTAATCTATTATAATCCTCCTGGCCTGCATACAAATATATATAATAATAATAATAATAATAATAATAATACAAATTTATTCTTTTAATCTCATGGATCTAAGCTCCAATACCATTATAAGCAAGCAATTCAAAGCAACTTGCAAGGAGAGAAATGAAGTGTATGGCATCTTACCTGCAGTGTCCCATAAACCTAGGTTAACAGTGTTACCATCAACAACAACATTTGCACTGAAGTTGTCAAAAACAGTAGGCACGTAATCCTGTTTTCCAAAAAATACGTAGAGGTAAGAACTTATAATAATTCAGTTCAGTCTAATATTAAAAATATCATAGACAGACGTGGACAATAAAAGTGGCCAAAGATTTTCTAATAACTACAAGATTAAGGAAGCCTTCTTTCTGAATGACATATGCATGAGCATTAAATAAATAGAATACACATTGATATCAATCCTACTGTCAAATTTATCTATCAGCTCAAGCTAAGAATTCTCTCACAAAAAGGTAATTTAGTAAACTTCAATTTAGTTTTACAATGCCCAGGAAAAATCAAAGGGATTTCATGAATCCTAAAGAATTTTCACACTTGCCCGGGAAAAATCAAAGGACTAATCCAGATAGACCTAGATTCACAAATTAGAAGCAACTTCAGTTTATAAATTGAAAAGGCAAACATCATGCTAGTAAACTTCGTATCACCGTCAACAAAATAATTTTAGGTGCATGAAGCATCGTATTTCCGAATCTCAAATCAATAAAACCAAATTTCCTTAAAATGCGGTAACAAAGACAAATGAATCATCTCTAACACAATTTTTCAACAGAACCAAAAAAAAAAAAAAAAAAAAAAAAAAAAACACCCAAAAAAAAATTTTTAAAAAAAACAAAAAAAAAAAAAAAAAAAAAACGAATCATGCTCCATGCTTCAGATCCCTTACCAAACACCCCATCCTAAATCCAAAAATGCCACGCATGCGACCACAGAAAGCGCAAAAAACAAATAAACAATCAATCGAATGAACGGAGAAGCAAATTTTCAAACTCACCGTAGGGAATGTGTTGCTCGTGTAGGATATAAGCATGCAGGTCTTCCCCACGGCACCATCCCCAACAGTAACACATTTAATAAATCTCGATGCACTCATCTCTTCCGCAGCACCAAATCACCTCCCGCACTATAAAACCAACCCTAGAATCCTGATCAGCAAACTAAACACATCTCCTCACTCAGATTCGCAGCAAAAACACGCATCGCTCCACTTCCCCGATCAAATCTTCGACGGGAAAGTATCAAAATCATAAACCCTAAATGGATTTATTCCCTTTCGCGCACCTTCGTGGTGCGGTTGAAGCGGTCTCTATAAGTGATTTTATTGTATTGAGAAAATAGGATAATTATAGGAGATTAGGTGAACAGCCAAACTGACAACTAATACAATCTTTAATCTCAAATAAAAATATAAAATCCTAAAAAATAACATATAAATAATTTAAAAATAATAAGTGCAATTAATATGGATAATTAATGGAATCTCTTACAAAAATACATAAATAAAATTTAGATTTTATTGATTTAAACTTAATGTTATTTTTTTTTTTTTTAGGAGAGCTTGCGAAAACATATAGGTGTAAATTATTAATTTTAAGCATATACCTCATATCCTATCTAAAAAAAACATATCTAATACATTGTTCCTTTAATTGCCTTCTCGCTTTGGCATCTCCTCCCTTCTTGAGCAACTAACATTCATTTTCTCCGTTTGAGTTTATAAAAAAATAGTGTGTTTGGAATATCAGATGTACGGACGGCGATATAGATTGCATTATGTTATTGTGTATAATGTCAATGGTGCGATCCACGACTTCGTCTAAACATCTGAAGGACGCTTGTAATATTTTCTCCGTCGTCACACCTCATTATCCACCTGCATCTCCTCTCTCCTCCCGATAAATAGTACTTAGACCACACCAAAGAGCTCAGAGGCAACAACCCCTCTTTCTTTTATTCACAGTTAGTTAGGCTGAAATTGTTATTTGTGATTCTTGAGTTTGTTCACAATGGCCATATATATATACTAAAACTATAAACTATAATTAACAATCAAAGTATTTTCATACCATTTAAATGCATAAAAAGCCATCAGTCGGCATTAAAAATGCATTAAGATGCTCTTTTTGCATTTTTTGACTTTATTTTCTCAACAAGTTGAAGGAGTGCGGCTGTAATTTTATTAGTTGTAGAGTACTTTAAAGTGTAAAATCATTGAGGAGATCTTAGTCTAGAGCCCAATGTCATGGACAAATAGTCCCACATCGGCTAGGTGTAAGGCCGAAAAGCAATATTTAAGTCCTGGGCTGCCCACCACCCATAAGGGCTCTTTTGGGAGGTGATAAGTGGTATTAGAGCAGACTACTGTCTGCCAGGTGTGTGTCTGCCAGGTGTGTGGACTCTCTATGGTCCAGTGGGACCCTCGGTGGAGCCGATCCGTGACGAGGACATCACGTGATTGGTGGAGGAGAATGTAATGGACAAATAGTTCCACATCGGCTAAGTGTATGGCCGAAAAGCAGTATTTAAGTCCTGGGCTGCCCTCCACCCATAAGGGCTCTTTTGGGAGGTGACACCAAACTATCTTTTTTCCTAAGCAGCCATGTTATTCTTGGTGATGCAGGCTTCCATCTTTTGATGTACATTTTGCTTGTCTTTGTTTGAGAGAGAGAATACACACTGTGTCTCATTTTTATAGTTGTTTCTCTTTGGAGAAAAAAAAACAGAAGTAGCTCCTTATTGGATTTCTTAAAAGAGATTCCTTATCACCACCTAATTTCCCATTGAGATATTTGTTCGTAAGTTTGTTTCCCTCATAGAAACTTGAAGAAAGAAGTAAAACTCGATGTGAAATAGATGAAAATATGTTATTGTAAGGTTTTTTTTTAGTTTTATTCTTCCTATTTTATTTATCTAGATTCTGAAAATCACGTCGAACATTGAACTATAAAATGAGAGGTTCAGGGTTCAAAGGTTGAACTAGAGTTGAACCGGAGTGCAACTAGATGATATAATGAATTATAAATTTATTTAAATCAGACAAAAATGATGTAATTAAAAAAATTTTATTGTGAAATATAAAATAAATAATTCAATATTTAAATAACAACATCAAAATAAATTAGGATGTTATTTTGAAAGTTAATAACCATTATTTTAAAAAAATTTAAATATGAAATATAAGAATCACACAATAGTAAATTTTTAAAAAATTAATAATTAATAGAAATTAAATGTTGTAACTTATTATTAAGATTAATATAGCATTAATATATATATATAATTTGGCTATTTGTATTTCATGGTCCCCTAAATTATAAAAGAAAATAATATAAAAAGCAAAAATGTTGTGCAAGCAAATATGGGTAAAGAAACAAATTCTTAAATTGTTCCAGCTCTTACAGTTTACTTTAAATCTTTAGTTGCACTTTTCTTTCATATTGAGAGCCAAGTATGTGATAGTTACAACAATAGCATATGGGTTTTTCATCTTGGATCTTTGTCATTCTATTTTTAGGCTTTAAAAATTCTTTTAAAATAAATTATTAATATTGTAGTCCAGTTTGTTGTGGCCGGTTTGTAGGTCAAATTGGTTGATTTTTGTCGGTTCCAAGCTAGTTCAATCTGGTTTGATGCAGGGGTTATAATTAAGCCAGCTCGAATCGGACCACCAGTCAATTCAAACTGGTTTTCTAAACCACGATATTATGGCTTTGATTGTACTAAGGATAATTATATCTTCTGGTTTTATTTATTTGTATGTCCTAGTTTTCCTTTCTAAAAGGAATTTAGAGCTTGTGAGAGAGTTATGGTGAAAATTTTGAGTTATAAGCCCCAGCTTTTTCTTTATCTCATGCGGTGCTAGTTCTCTTCTAATGGATGTAGGCGTATCAACTTAACGTCAAATAATGTAAAACTTTTGTGTTTGATTAATATTTTGTAAATGTATATGTTTTTGTATTGTTTTTGCATAACAACTGATATTAGAGCTTTGGGTTCATGCTCCGAATGTGATTTGGCTTCAATGACATACATGATACTAGTGTTTTTTGTAGCACGTGATATGACGTGTTGGACCGGTGATTTCGGAGGTTTTGTTTTAAATCTGGCTAGTGGGTAGAGGCGTTGCTTCAGGGGGACGTTCGGTGAGTTTTTTTCCAGCGTTCTTGCAGGTTCCGGTGATAGGTGCACAATCCGGTGAATGGTTTGGACCAACGGAAGTTCGGATGCATTTGTTGCAGCTGAAACTTTTTAAAAAAAAAAAATTTCAAAAGAAAACTTTCTTTGTTAAGGAAAAAATAATTATGCAATGCAGCGATTTGTTTTGTTTTCTTTTCTATCCACCGGAAGTTCAGATGCATTTGTTGCAGTTAAAATTTTTTTGAATTTTTTGTTTTAAAAAAAAAACTTTCCTTGTTAAGGAAAAAATAATTATGCAATGCAGCGATTTATTTTGTTTTCTTTTATTCATGATAGGTTTCAGAAGGTTGCGAGGAAAGAAAAAAAAAATTTTTTTTCTTTGAAACAAATGTGATTTTTGAAAAGAAAAAAAAACAGAACAAGTAATTTTTTTAGAAGGAAAGTTTATTTTTTATAAAGCTACACGAAAGAAGCTTCAAAACAAAAAATGGGGAAAGCTTGAGGTAAATTTTAGAAATCGAAAAAGGAAAAAACTTTAATTATTTTAAAATTGAAAAAATACTTTGAAAATATAATTTTTATTCTAATTCCAATTTTATTTTTATTAAGTGTCTTTGACTTCAGGGAGTTCAAATACTTGATTTTGTGTTTTTTATGATTTTTTTTATAATTATTTTAGTGGGTAATTAGTGAAATAGTAAGCAAATGCATTTAAATGTCAAAAATACATTTTTTTGTTCTTGAAAATTTTGTAGGAGTATTTTAGAGCTCTTTCCTTTAATCAAGGAGATTTTTGTGATATTTTGAAATATATTCATTTTTTTCATGATTTTTATATAGAAAAATACATGAAAAATATATTTTAAATTTCAAATTTAATTTTATTTTTCCTAAAGTTCTCTGACTTCAGTGAACCTATTAAACTTGATTTGTAATTTTCATATTTTTATTTTATTTTTTATAATTATTTTAAGTGGACGAATGTGATTATCATGAAAAAGTACGGCTTTCAGGATTATGGATGTTCTCTGACCTTGCGAAAATCATGGTGCATTTCTAATAACATAATTAACAAAACCTAAAAATTTCAAACATTGGTGATATGCATTTAAATATTTATGATTTAAATAAGTTTTAAGGTTTTTAATTAATTTAAAATTAAATATAAGATAATTAATTTAAATTTTTGGTTCTATATATTTCTCCTAAATTCATTGAGCACGGAGACATTGTTGTTTTATTTTTTTAATTTTTTTACACCAAGATATGATTTTTTGGAGTTAAATTTCATTTTCTGGATTTAGCTAAATCAGAAAATACCTTATTTATCTACTTAAACATGTTGGTGTCTCGTCAACCTTGACGAGCCTTATAGACCACACAACGTCCTTCTATGGGTTGTGTTTTCCATGTCGTCCAACTCGTTAGCCCGCGGTTCACACTCCATTACTCCGTTCAACTCCATTGGCGTTGCTCGTTTCAATTACACGCGAATGAACGTCGTCCATTCATCGCCCTAAATGAGATCTAACCCGAGAATTGTTCACACTAAAACACTAAGATCTCTTTTAATACTTAACCAAATCACATGAGGCTTGTTTATATAGCTTCATCTAAGTGAGGCAAACACATCTATACAACTATGTGAACAGGGATTGTTTATTATCTTCATATATAACCAAAGTGAGGCAAAAATGGGAGTTTTTGAGCTATACTTTTGTCCAAGAGGTGAGGCCTCAAATAGATGGGTTGAAAAGCTTCGTCTTGGTCCTTCAAACCTCCTCCAAGTGTTGATTTACTCCGTGGATGGGTTTAGGTATGACATAGACCAAATGGTTGATCAGGTGCGGTCTAGAGCTATGGTAGAGGGCTCGGGAAAGGGGGTTTTCTATCGGGGAAGTGATTTTAGGCTATAGGGAGAGTTTTGTGAAGTTTGGTGGAATGACCTAAAAAGTCTTGGTTTTGAGCTTTAAAATTAGGGTTTCTCAGTGGGAAAATGGCTGAAAATTATTGGGATGAACTTCATGTGAGTGTAATGGAAGTTTGAAATGATTTTGGCAAAGTTTTCTCAAGGTTTATGCATTTGTCCATTTTGGCCGTAGAGGTGGTGGTTTTATGGGCTCAACCATGCGGGAGGGTTAGGACTCCCATTGGCCGGTCAAAGCTTCTTTGGGTGGAGCGGAGAAAGTGACAAGTGTCTAATGAGGCGAGTTAAGTAGGTGGGTAGAATTTTGGGTTTGACCCATGGTGGTGGCTATCGGTTTTGGGTTTTCCAGCGACCAAGTTGGTCGACCAAGGTGGCCGAACAAGGTGTGGGAGGTCACCATCTAGTTGTGGGAGCTCATGGCTGGAGGATTGTGAAGTTAATTGTGTTGTGGCATGTGTACATGACTTGAATTGGAATGGAAAGGGAGAGAGTTCATTTTGGGTCAATCTGGGGTCCAAGTCATGCAAATGGGTTGGGTTCATCCACAAAGGTTGCTTGGGCTAGTGGTTAGCCTTGGAGCTTGTTTGTTCAAGTCCCTTTCATGTGGATTTAGATTACTTTTAGGTTTAAGTGAGTCATGACTATGGTTAAGCATTTTTAGGGGATCTTGAAAGAGGCTCCTCCTTTAGCCATAAGCGACAAAGTGGCTTGCATGAGCCTCATGCATGGCTCCTTGGCTTCCTTATGGCTTGGATGAAGCCATATGGCTTAATTAAGGCACATGCATGGTCTACATGGCTTGCATTAAAGAGGACGGGTGATAAATCAAAGCTTGAAAGTATTTTCATGATTTCTGCTTTGGTTTGATTAATCATGAAATGTTGGACATAAGCTTGATTAAATTAATAATGCTTTTGGTCAAAAGCAGATTTGGAATTTAGGCTTAGTTTAATGGGCTTTTGGGATGGGTTGTAAAAAAGGGAGTTGGAAATTTTGTCATGTTGAATTTCATAAGGCTTTGAGCCCGTCATGGTGAATTTTAGGACTTAGGCTTGGTGAGGATGAATGTGGTATGTGGGTTTAATTTTGGTTGATTTTGGATTTGGGGAGCAATTTGATGCCGGATTGATGTAATTTTGGATTTAGGGTGTATGAAAGTGGGATTTAAATTTTAAAAATTATGGAATTTTGGGAGTTGGGAATCTTAGAATTTTTTGAAATTTGAGCAATTTGGTGGAAAATTGGGTTTATAGGCATTTTGGTTAATTTTGGGCAATTTAGGTGGATTTGGGGAATTTTGGAAAGTTTTGGATTTTGGGTGGATTTAGCGTTGACTTTAAGTGGTGATGTAGTGAGGAGGTATGAGGCGATATAAATTGTACTGATGTATGGATTGTGTGTGAATTTTGTATAGAGTATATGATGTGGTATATGTGAATGTGTATGTAGTGCATGTGAATTATAATGGTGTGCGTTGGATGTGTATGTGGCCTGAAGTGAATGTCCAAATAATAAAGGGTTTCCTTATGGTCTTGTGACACTATGGGAACTCAATTTTGGGGCTTCACTATGTTGGTTTAAACCAACTAAACCAAGTGTTGAGAGTTTCAGTCCACCCACAGGAGATTCCACAAAAGAGTCAAGAGGTGGTAAAGAGTTATAAGTGAGGTGGGTCTCATCTATAGTCTTTTAGGATAGTTAATAAGGAATACATCATGACTAGATCCTAAGCTCTAATAGAAAACTAGACCTCACAGAAAATGAGGTTAACAGGGTAACCAAACAAAAGACTCCCATCTAGAGCCAGCAAATAAAAAACTCTCCTCTAAAGCAAGTAAGAAAAAAAAACCCCTTCGTGGCAACCAGACAAAAGACTCCCATTCGGGGTAAATAAACAAAAAACTTCCATTCAATGAGAGCAAACAAAAAACTCCATTGCGAGCAAAAAAAAAAAAAAAAACTCCCCTCTGGGCCAAGCAAAAAAAAATCCCCTATAAGGAGAGAAAATAAAAGACTCCTGTATGGGGATAGGAAACAAAAGACTCTCATCCAGGGCAAGCAAATAAAAAACTTTCATTCGAGGCGAGCAAACAAAAGACTCACTTCTGGAGTGAACAAAAAAAAAAACTTCCCTCTAGGCCGAGTAGAAAATAAATCTTCTTCACAGAGAGAAAATAAAAAACTCCGCTTCCGATGTGAGGAAACAAAAGAGTTCTCTGAGCAATGCAAAAAAAAAATCTCCCCTCCAGTGCGAGCCACAAAAAAATCCTCTCCATAGCGAGCAAAAAAAAACCACTTTGCAATAAGAAAAAATGCTTCTGAGTTGGCGAGATAGCACAAAAGATACTAGAACGGATCACATATAGCACATAAACATTGAGTATCATTAGTGATTTGTGTAATCATATTTTTTCCCTTTAATTTGTTTTTGTCCTTATCATAGGTGTCACTATTAAGAAGTAAAAAAATCGAGAAACTTAATATGTACACAAAAAATCGTATACAAAAATCTTGAGAAAATATAACGGTCCAGATACAATGAAAGATGGCGATAAGGTGCAAAAAGTTGATTATGACTATAAAAATGTTTCATAAAGACTTGTAACTCTCATTATAAAACATGTATTACTAAAAAAATTGTAAGGCCTGCAACTCCCTTATTAAAGCATAACATTAATAAAAAGATCATAATAACTTGTAACTCTCACATTAAAGTAGGGACAAACATGTCATTTTATACTTGATCCCTCTTTTTTCTATAATTGGGGAGTTCGTAGCATGCATAAATGAGACTATTCTCACTTAACTTTTCTCACGTATGAAGAACTCTTGCACCTTTTCAATGTAACCGTTACTTTTTTTTGTATAAAGGGGTCAAGGAGCCTGGGGATACCTTAGTTCTCTCATATGGGGCAAGTCCATGTATGTTATATCTTTTCTCTTACTTGTCTCTTTCTTTTTCTCCCTCAAAGTCGCTACTATTCCGATCATTGGACATGCCCATAAGACAAATTTATATTCAACAAAGGGAATATTTAAAATGATGTATTAAAACGATTTAGAGTGATGAGAGTGTTTGGAGAAGATATGGTAGGTTGATTGAGTAATAAATATTAACCTGGCCAAATCCCGACAAAGTTGACTAATATTTCTAATTATATTTCAAATTTTAAAATACAAAAGTAAAATAAAAAATTTCTCTTGAAAATTATTGAAATTTACCAAAGTTTATATTTATAAATTTTTATGTTTTTTTTTTCTATTTTTTTAACAATTAAAAATTGAAGAAATAGAAATTTAGAACACACAAAAAGGAAAACTAAGGTTTCATATTTGGACCTTTAAACTGAATAAAAAGATAAAGAAAGGGGTGAAGTTTTTATAAAAATTAATATATAAGCAATTTAGATTAATTATAGAAATTTGGATAGTTTTCTAAGTGGATATGGTCTTCAATATGAAGCCTAAACTCTAATTATGTAGGATTAGACAAAATTAAGGCCAACATATATAGAGAGGATTAAGATGGATTTTTGGTGGGCTAAATTTAAAGTAAAATAAAACAAACTCAAAAACATTCCTTAAAATAACATGATCTCCTAATTATTCTATGCAAAATAATCCTATATATATATATATATATATATAATTTTAATCCTAAGACTTATAAAATCAGTCTAAATATTCTTTAAGAAGCGCTATTTCAAGTCGGTTTTGGCCCTTCAAATCGCAAAATTATTAGGTCCGACGACCGCATGTTCTCTGCATGCCGTAGCGAATGTAAAATTAACATGTGTAATGGTGGCCCCCAGCGATAATCAATAAGCAGAATGCGTGACCCGACCTGAACTCCGCCCAATAACCGGAAAAAGCATATATTTGTGTTTATGGAATCCCGCCAAATCTAGCATTTGGACATTTTCGATCCCGCCAAAGATTATTAGTGTCTTGTAGATTTTTTTTATTTTCTCGTCTGTTAGTACTCGACGAGTAGGGCAGAGCTCGTCTGTTAGTATTCGACGAGTAGGGCGGAGTTCTTATTCCGTTCCGAGACCACATTAATGGATTTCTCATTCGACCAAGAAATGTTGATGGAATCTGAGAATGATGGCGATCAACTTGGATCATTAGCTGCGTCCGAAAGTATTCCTCAGGTAGAGTTCTTTCTTATGTTATGAGTGCTGCGATTAATGGCTTTCAAATGATAGTATTGCTGGGCTCGGATGGTTTGATTACTATATTATTTGATTGCTAAGTTAATTTGTAAGTGTTATCATTGTGTGTAAGTTGTCGTAATGGTATTATCTTTCTGGTATTAT